CGACTTGCAAAGTCGCCGACCAACCCATTCGATCTTTTAGGACAGCGGTTTCGATAAATATCTTCTCGTGCCTCGCTACGCGATGAATCTACATCATCCTCGACAGGACTACTAACACATACCAATTCTCTGCCTCTACCGGTTAAATCATCAGGACATCTTCCGCTCGGCGATCTGCTTGCCTTGACACCCAGAAACTGCTCTGCCTCAGAAGCGGAAGCTACATTTTCAATACCACGACCACTCGGACTCTCGTCATCTTCGCCACGGCTAAGGAACTGCAACGAGATCCCATTGGTTGAACAGGCTTCCCATTTGACATTGTCGAGGAAAGAAGCAAACTTGCTCATAGAATTCGTGGATGGATCCCTCAGTGACCTGACCCTTCTAAGCGCGACAAGAGTTCTCGTTATAGGAACATCAACAGAATGCCTTCTGACTTCCCCCATTTGCCCAGCAGTTTCAGACAATCAAAAAGATTTCAGACCAGAATCTCTGTCTGAATCTCGGAGCAAGACTTCAAGCATCAGACACAACAACGCCCATCTGCAATTGCAAAAGGAAAATCACAACAAGGACAGTGAGTGAGTATGAATCAACGGATAGAAACAATTTTTTTTTTTGCCAATATCGGGAGGATAGAACACCAGCTGTTTCCAAACCCACAAAAGGGTTTAACTCTTATTAGCAAAATCTAAAAGTTCAAGTGCCAAACAAAAAGAAAATCACCTAAAGTTGCAAACTTTTTTCTGCCAGTAAGGAGAATTGGCTCAACAAACAACATTGTACCAAAACAGTAATTAGAGGAAATAATGTGAAAATAAGCCCGAAAACACAACACAAGTAAACGTGAAGGAAAGAACAAAGAAAAGCTAATAGATGATGAAATCAAGGGTCGGAATATGAAGCCAGGAAGTTTCCAGATCATGAATCACCTTTATAATTGTCTTCATACGGGGAAAAAAGGAAGAAAAGCTCACCAACTCCAACACTCGAATACAAAAAAGAAATCAAAGACAACAAGAATTTTACTGGAAAAAGAACATGTCAATGGAATCGAGCTCAGCAATGGAAATGTACCTGGTAACAGTATAAGTACGTGAAGAAACAAACAGAAACTAAAACCCTAAAATAACAAAAACAGTCTCAGAGCTCAAAAAGGCAGAAACCCAGAAGAAGCTATGAGCATTTTTTTTATAAGATGGCGGAGAAAATCCAAGAAAGTTGAAGAATTTAATAAACCCTTTGGCTTAAAACGAGCAAATAAGAACAAAGGGAGAGTGTAAGAAACAGACAAACTAGAAATTCCCAAACGTCAAGGTTCGAGATTACCGAGGTTTTTTTTAAACCCAGACGGAGTGGCGTAACGTACGGTGCGCGCAGAACCAACAAAAAACCCTTGAAATCTGAAACCCTAAGGAACATGAAACAGAGCAGGTGAGGAATATGGGGTCTTTCTTCGGTCCCAGAAGAAGAAGAAGAAGAAAGTGAGTGGCGAAATGGTAAATAGCATTGATGGTGTGGGAGAGAGAAGTAATAATAAAGAAGAGGACATTGTTTCTGTGAAGAGAGAGAGAGAGAGAGAGAGAGAGAGAGAGAGGATTATAATTGCATTATTCAGAGACATGTTTTTGTATGAATAGCAGAGATTTTGCAGAGAAAGGTGTCTGACTTCGGACAGAGAGCCTAACCAGTTAGAGAGAGAGAGAGAGAGGAGAGAGAAGAAAGGCTGTGAGTTTTGTGTTTGGTTCATTTAAGATACGTCCGGCGGTTTCAGTTTTTTTTTTTTTACTTTGTATAAAAAAAAATAAAGAAATGCTAACAAAAAAAACTACGAGTGTGGTCCGATTCTCTGCGAAGCTGTTGACCTCTGCAACGCTCCCACGCGCCTTCTTTCGCGCGTGTTGGTCACGCCAATTGGATTACATACATCAATTATCAATAAATATATACGAAAATGTTTGCCAAGATTTTGGCTGCAACATAATAAAGATCAGTGAAATTATACGACCGAGTGTACGGAAAACAATATGGGATATGTAATGAAATTTGCAGAGAATTTTTTTTTTTTTTTATAATCGGGTGATCCCAAACCTAAAGGTCCAGACAAATCCCGACTCACGCGCACGATCCTGCAACACACATGTAGGATGTGAAACATCCGAAGGTGGCAGGGGATGAATCTCCATACTCTGGGTGTTAAACCCACAACTTCGTTTATAGGAAGAAGACTTTCAAACCAACAGAGTTGGGGGATTCCCCAAAATTTGCAGAGAGTTTTTGCTCTCTTTCCTAATTTGTAAAAATATGGGATTGGAAACATACATGAAAATGAACAAATGGGACGAAAATAAATTTATAGAATAGATATATCATAAAATTTGCTAGATATTATGGAAAATTCAAATGATTTCCTCTAATCTTATTGTGAGAAGAACCATCAAATTTCCCTATAAATTCACTCCTAATTCGATGGTTTTGCTTCAAAAAAAATTTTAGAGTGACAATTTTTAAAAAAATGTATATATTATCTTGCAATCTGACATAAACAATTTGTTCGCAACATTCGACGTTTTGAGGGTTTGCAACCTCGTTATTACTTATTAGAGTGTGAGCATTAACGTGAACGGACAACGGTTATTTAGTTTTTCATTTATTTTCAATAAATCATATATATATATATATATATATGTATATATAGATATATATATATATATATATATATATTTGTAGCTTGTATCCATCACATTCTTCTCAAGGAGGATTATTATTATTTTTTCTAGGCAACATCAGCGAACTCTCGTGGTTTATAGAAATGGATCCAAAAAAGAATGATTATTATTAGGATAACTAATAATACGAAAAAAAAACATTAAAAGTTATTAGTTCTATTGAATCTTATACATCAAATTAATAATAATTTTTTGTTACTTTTATATGAAATATTTTAAATAAATAACATAAATTTTGGTGGTATTATGAATTTATATCGGCCTAAAATTATGAAGCTCCATTGCACGACATTTCAATTCATTCGTGGTCGTATTTTATTCTGGATGATCATTTTTGTCCCTTTCAATACAACAGATTTTTTATTTTTTTTAATTATATATTTATTCTGATTTTTAATTAAATGATATTTCTGATTTTTTTTGAATTTTTTTTTTTGCATGTTTTATTAACGAAAAAAATTGCAGACCACAAGTGAGAAAAGTGATTGATATATGATCTATCTAAACTTTATAAATTTGGATGTAATTGGGCCTATTGTATGTGGGCCATAATTATAATTTCGATTTAAAAGAAAGATTTGGGCTCCAAGGCCCAGAAATTTCAGACTAATGTACACGTGTATCTTTTTGTATGCATATATATATATATATATATATATATATATATGTGTGTGTGTATTTTTTTTGTTTTTTATAAACTGTATATATATATGTATTCCAAGTGGATTTCGTCATTTCAATTTTCAACACATCTTTTTGTATGATAAAATCTATTTTGCTAACTTCTTTTATATTAGTGTATTTTCACCTTATATTAGTGCATTTTCGAAAGTTTTTTTTGTATATTTTGACTAAAGTTTCCTTATATTTTATAGTCTGTTTTTTTTTGGGTCATAGACTTTCATATAATTCTTTCCATATAGAGTACCAATGTTATATTTTGTAAATTTCATGCTTCTAAGTTAACAATCTTCTCTTCATAAGGATTTTATATTCGAAAAAGAATTTTCATTAAATATTGTGGATCTCTCCTCTTTTTTTTTTTTTGCTCTATGACCGGAAATTATCTGTTTTTTTTTATAATCCGGAAGTTTACTGGGTATTTGACTCGACTACATCTTCCAGAGAACAGGAGAAGCCCAGATGAATGTCCCTCCCCACGCTTGGGTTTGAATCCAGGATAAGAGTATGCTTTGCCCGGAAATTATCTGTTATTTATGCACTCTCGTCTATAATACCATAACTATAAATATTGGTGGTCTTTAATAATGACAATTATAATGAAATCCTAATCCATATATATATATATATATATATATATATATATATTATAGTGGCGTATAATATCTCAATGTTCATCAATCCACCAAACCGAAACCAACCATACAAGGAATCAAAATCAATTCGATTGATATCGCCATCCTCCATGTGATATATACTCGAGTGGATCACTAGAAAACTTTATCCAGAAAAAAGGAAAGATGATGCATTGTAATCTACGGGGAATCTAGATATATACGAGTAGATCAAATTATATATGTATATATATATATACATGTTTATATTATAACCAGAATTATTGAAGGGATTGGGTTTCGATTGTGAAATAACTATGAAGAAGCATGTGCGAAGTGATTGGCGGAGAATGTAGGTGGAGGGACCATATATATATATATATAGGAGCACCACGTAAATGCATGGACGACCGTCGTTGCCTCGTAGCTTTCGAAATCCGCATACCACCTTATTCAACTAACATGCTTTTGTTCCCTTGTTCTTAAGGGGGTTTTTATTCGTAAATCACACACACACAAATATATATATATATATATATATATATGTATGTATGTATGTATACATGTGCATATGTTGTAAGATGCATCTCCCATGTTATATCACTATTTTAAACAAAGACTTGCACGTTGGGTTTGTCCCTTTTCTTTTTAGTAAAGCTTCCTGCTTTTCTTTTAATTTAGCACTTAGTTTTTAGATTATCAAACGGATGCTATCCAAGATCATTGCATATATATATATATATATTTTCATCACTGCTTACAAAGGCCAATATATATCAAATATATATGACATATATTATATACGTGCTATAATTAATCGAGTCAATTATGTGATCTAAATCAGTTTTCTAGTCTAAATCATATATCTTGGACAAGTATTTATGTTTAATATGTCATTAGATTGTTTCAAATGTTTTATAGAATACCGTCATTTACGATCATTCAATTTTACAGATTAATTCAGATATATTAAATTTTATTTTGACGGGCATAGTTGAGTTAATTATAAAAGATTTGATTAGATGATTTCGTTATAATACTATATGAATATATATTACAAGATTCTCCCCTTTCACGAATCTTGTGAACCGTTGGTATACAAGGTAGCTAACGTATACGATGGACCGATCCGACAGGATTCATGAACATTATTTATATTCTTCGTGGTTTCAAGACCACACAAAGACAATGTATGTTTTTTTTAATGAAATTTCTTACTCTATATTAGGAAACATAGACAAGAAACTTCACATCCTCGTCGACATTTCAGGCAAAGCCAAATCATAGCCAGTTAACACCGTTAGCCAAATCAAACTTTCAAGAATCTCTACAAGATTCCAATAAGTGGTTTATCAAGAATAGAAATAATGTGATATAATTATAAGACTCGGGCTTTCCTCTTTCGATTAATTTATTCTAATTCAAAAAATTTGTTTCGTTGAAGCCGATGTTTTGCTTCGCCATTCCAATGCAAGCTTTCAAGAATCGTTATATGGGTCGTTCGGATTTCTTAAAAAATCAAAATTTTTAGCTTAAAATAAAATACAATAGTAAGAAACTTTCTTAAACCACAAAATAGTTAGTGAAAGTGAAACTATTCATTATTTGAACTGTATGGGGAAACACATGATTAATAATCGAACATTTAACAAGGCATATGTATAGAAGAACACATGAACAAGATAGTCCAATTACATATATATATATATATATATTCAGTCTTTTAATTTTGAAGTGGATAAATAATTCGATGGTTGGTACGTACATCCATTCTATTATATGCTCTTCCATGAGGGCCATATGCAATAAATGTTCATCCATTGATTACAAACACAAAAATGCTAACTACATGCATTAATTTCCTTTTTCAAAAATTGTATTCCAAATGGCCAAAAAAAAAGAGGGAGATTGATTACTATAACTATCCACTGCTTAATTATATATTATTCCAACAAAAAAAGAAATCCATGTACCTCTATATATGCATTATTCCATATGATATGAACTCATAATATCATAATTTACTCACTAGATAAACTATTTAAGGAGAATAAAATCAGATTATATAGAGAAAGAGATAATGTGTCTCGTAACCATGTAAATAAGTTTAAATTTATTCATATAATATATTACTAATAAAATTACATTAATACCTTCTATTTTATTCATCCTCGAATAATACTTAATATTCAGTTTTTTATTTATATGTGGTCTTGTGTTTGATATAGGATAATTCGAACATCAATAATTCTTTTCTTTATCTGAATCACGTACGAATTGCAAATTACATTCGTATTTATTATGTCAATATATATATCATTGATGTGATTTGGCAAATAATGTGTGTGTATATATTAAGGTATTGGATGATGAAAAAGTGCCACGTCATCCGGGGTGGATGCCAATTGACAAAAAATTGTTCGGTCATTGGTGCAAATCTCGCCGAAGTTCACGGACATTATGAAAAAAGGAACCCGGGTAAAGTGGGACCTACTAATTTATTCGTTATATATTATATATGTATATTATATAATTTATATGTATAGATATAATTATCTAAACAGAAAATTATAACGAAGGAAAAAAAAAAGTGTCTGATGTGTCATCGTCTTAAGTGATATTTCAATTTTATATTGTTATTTCATTAATAATTATATATTAATTCATTGAAATTTCAAAAAATCTATAATTTGACATAAAATATATCTAATTTAATATATTATTAAAATAATATGTACATATATAAGATTCTCTTTCATTATAATAAATTTCAATATGTTTTTTTTGGGAGGCATGTGCTTGGGATTTCCCCAAATCTCCGTTGTCATAATCATACTCACATTTTCAATTTTTTTTTAATTAATTTGTCAAAACTTAGTTGAGGTGAAGTTGAAGATTTGTTGGGGATCTCTCCTTCTCCTTGATTGATTCCGGAGATCCGTCCAATTACAAAAAGAAAATGATTTTTTTTTTTTACTTTTACATATGATTTGTGTTGGAAACCACTTATGTTATTGACAAATCCAAACCTTATTATAAAAAAAAGCGTTTATATTAATACATTACTTTTTCTTTTCTTTATATTCTTCGGTTAAACGAATTGCTTTTAACTTGAGTAAAAAGTATTGATAAGTATAGGAGACCGATATATTTTTGTTTCATAAAAAAATTTATTTAGGTTTTGTGTTTATGACAAATTGTAGATTTACCTTATTACATATAAAGCATCCATTTATTTTTCAATCTATATATAATATAAATAATATTTCATGGATCAAATTTTTGTTTAATTCTATATTAAATTTACGCTGTTTAAATTGAATAAATTTGTATGCATGTCCAATCCGTGTGTCACAGGAGGAGATTATTCCATATGAATGTCCAATCCGTGTGTCACATTAGAATAAAATATACAAATATTTTTTTTTATAGATAAAGCATTTTTAGTAACTAATTGTATAATTTTATATATAATATAATAACAATTAGGAGAGATGCTATTGTCAAGAGTTAAAATTGAGATTAACTCCACATTTATTTGGATAATATTGAATGGCAGAATATATATTTTACCATCCTACGTAAAACTTAATTAAATAGAACCAAATAATATATAATCGCATCCAAATTGAATTTAATATAACAATTATATATGTACAGTGTTTAAAAAATAAATAAATCTAATCCAACACGAAACAAATGAAAAAAGAATCAAAATATATTTTAAATAATATTTATTATAAAATAGAACATGCGACCAACCCATATTCGAAATAAAGTTTTAAAACAAAAAATGAACAAAAATAATACAATTGAAATCTAAACGAAACTCGAATTTTAACATATTTTTGTTAAATTGAAGTCTAAGAAATTATTATGACAAAAAAATTAAGTTCTAGAATTCAAAGTAAAATGTTTAAAATTAATTTAGTTATTAAAGGTAGAGATATTTTATTTGGAGTCTAGAAAATAAAATTCAATATTCGGATCAAATTGCTCTAAAATTAAATGAGTAAATACCTGTGTGAAACTAATTATTTTCTGGACCAAAAGAAAATTGATATAATCTTCAAAAAAAAAACTTTAACAATAAAATAATGAAATCTATATATAAATAAATATGAAATAGAATATGTTGTTTAAAATTTCTCTAGAATTTTGTTAAATTTGAAATAAAAAAATCTAAGTAGGATTAAAAAATAAAGATTGAATTGCAGGTTTATTGTCAGTAAAAAGTAGCGTAGCGTAGGTTAGGACATGTGAATAAATAATTACGTTTTTATCCCACCGAGGAAAATAAATTAATTTTTTTTCGTCTTTTTGTCTTATAATTTTGTATTTCCATCTTTGTCCTTTGTGTCGACCGTATCATTTCACAGCGTAGCGTGCTTAACGACCAAAACTACCCAACAACTGAAGAGAATCCCGTAGAATCAGTAAATCACGAAGCATTTTCCCGGACCCACATCTTTTACTTTCTTCCATTTATGTCGCATACTTTTTAAGTTTCTAATTTAACCCTTTTCACATTCCCGCATTACCCCATTAAAATTCTTCGTACACTGCAGATACATTGACTTCTAGTTAGAGAATATCCAACTTAATATCAACAAGAAAATAGGTTCCAAACAAAAACCTAATCAAATCAAACTTTATGAATGATGAATAAATACACATCTATATCATTTTACCACATTGGGTCGGTATTATATGGAAATGGGTATGATTCGATTTTTGGATTTTTTTAAAAAAATAGACACTTCTATATCCAACTCGTGAAAATTTTGATTATATACATAGTAAATTATACAACACAAAATTAGTGGATATAGAGTCTGATTTGTTGTGTTTCAAATGGTTAGAGAAAAAAGGGTCCATTTAGAATCATCATAACTCATATATAAGCCACATTTTTATAATATATATATAAAATAAAAGAAAGAAAATTAAAGCACCGGGACAAAATGATAATGCAGCAAATTTGACAAATCTTTGTATACACAGTAGCCCTTTACATCTTTATATATAACTCGTCTCCCCCCTTCTCATTTCCACTCAAATCTCTTCCCTCCACCTTCACATCTTCTCTTTCTTCTCAAGAACTCTAGAGAGAGAGAGAGAGAGAGAGAGAGAGAGAGAGAGAGAATGAAGGATATGAAACATTGCATGTTCATCGTCTTCTATGTTCTGTCTGTTTCTCTGGTACTGTCTTCTCCGGTTCCAGACCCAGAAACTGTCGTTGAAGAAGTCCACAGGTTTGATATGATCTTCGCTTCTTTCTTCATATTACTACTACCCACATTGTTCTTTATTTTGTTAATAAATTATTAAAAAAAAGTGACTTTACCATTGATCTTGGTTACAATACCTGTCTCTGTTTGTGTTGAATGCTTAATTTATTCCGTTTGCTGTAGAGAATTAACTACCATAGTAAACAAAAAATAAATAAATTAGTTTCCCAATTAATATTTCAAAATAATTCTGACGATTTGCCAAAATGTCTAACGATTGCGATTTCCGTAATTTCCTAATAATTTTCCCTTTTTCCGTTATTTTTGGGAAGTCCTTTTCCGAGAAATTTGTTAAAAAAAATCAATGGGACGTTATTTCCTCGGAGGATAAACAAGTAATTTTCTTTTCTGCCGACAAAAAAAATAAAATAAAATTTCTCGCTAACGGTAAAAATTGTGTACTTGTGGGATGGGACCAATCAAAGACCCTGAACTGAAGTATCTTTGTCTTGTTCCTCTGGGCAGTAAAAATGTAAAAAAAAAAAGTTAATTGGGGTTGGAATCGTGTGCGTGCAGGAGCATCAATGCATCCGTTGCGGCTCGGAGGAAGTTAGGGTACTTATCCTGTGGAACCGGCAATCCCATCGACGACTGCTGGCGATGTGACCCCAACTGGGAGAAAACCCGCCAGCGGTTAGCCGATTGCGCCATCGGGTTCGGCAAAAACGCGATCGGTGGCCGTGACGGCAGAATCTACGTGGTCACGGATTCCGGCAACGACGATCCCGTAAACCCTAAACCCGGAACCTTAAGATACGCAGTGATCCAGGACGAACCTCTGTGGATCATTTTTCAACGCGACATGACGATCCAGCTGAAAGAGGAGCTGATAATGAATTCGTTCAAGACGATAGACGGCCGGGGAGCATCCGTACACATAGCGGGCGGGCCGTGCATCACGGTACAGTACGTGACGAACATTATCATCCACGGGATACACGTACACGACTGTAAGCAGGGGGGGAACGCGATGGTGAGGAGCTCCCCGAGGCATTACGGGTGGAGGACGATATCGGACGGGGACGGGGTCTCGATCTTCGGGGGAAGCCACGTCTGGGTCGACCACTGCTCGTTCTCCAACTGCAACGACGGTTTGGTCGATGCCATCATGGGTTCGACCGCCATTACGATCTCGAACAATTACTTCACTCACCATGACAAGGTCATGTTGCTTGGTCACAGCGACACTTACGCCAGGGTTATTTTCCCGAGGGAGAATTAAGCTATATACATATGTGTATATGTATATATGAAATTTCATGGGTGTGGGTCAAAGGGAAACTTCGATAAAGTGGATAATGTTGTAAACTCGAAGTGAAATAATAGAATAAAATATCATATACATAATGCCGAGGTATAAACAATTTGTGCAATTTTTTTTTGGGGTGTGAATAGTGCAAATAAGGAGGAATGGTGGGGTCTAAATGTAATTTTGGAAACTTACGCAGGTGTCGACATGGGTACTTCCATGTGGTGAACAATGACTACACACATTGGGAGATGTATGCAATTGGTGGAAGCGCAGATCCTACCATCAATAGTCAAGGGAACAGATTTGTGGCCCCAAATATAAGATTTAGCAAAGAGGTACAAAATTTTATAAATTAATAAAAAAACAAATCTCAATTTCTAAATTTGTTTTAATAACGTTATTTCGGGATTATGAAATTCGAATAATTTTAACGTTACAGGTAACGAAACACGAGGATGCACCGGAGAGCGAGTGGAAGAATTGGAATTGGAGATCGGAAGGAGATTTGTTGCTGAACGGTGCGTTTTTTACGCGGTCTGGTGCGGGCGCGTCGTCCAGCTACGCTAGGGCATCGAGCCTCGGGGCTCGGCCTTCGTCCCTGGTCGGAACTATCACCGTCGGTGCGGGTGCACTGAGCTGCCGTAAGGGTGCACATTGCTGATTATGGCCCAAAAAAAGGTGGACACTGCTTAGGGAAAAGAACAAATTAATGGCAGTGGTTAAAGTCATGATTAGTTGGCCATGAAAAAGGTGATTAATTAGAGGCGCCGATTATGGTGATTAGTATAATTTTTATTTTGGTTTTTTCTTTTTCTTTTTTTTTTTTAATTTTTTTCGGGTTTAAATTCCGGTAATTACAACCTCTGTTTGTGCGCTCTTTTGAACCCGTTTGAAGATTTTCTCCTTTTAAGGAAATCTTTAATGGTGTTAATTGAAAGAGAACAAGTGCAGATGTGTTGACGATATATCAATAGAGACTGTATTATGTTTTATATATATATATATTCTCTCTTGGTTCTCTATATTCGAGGCAAGTTACGATCAACTGTCTTTCAAAACAAAATGGAAATTTAAATTAAAAAAATAGTGTTTTAAAATTTACAATGATTGGGTTGATTAAAATCTTTAATGATTTATCGTACAAGTGAAATCTTTGATTTTTGCAAATTTAAATAAAAAATTATAATTTTGTTAAATCATCCAAAAAGTTATATATTTATTTTAATTCTGATAAAAATTAATATTAATTATTATTAGTACATATTTTTGAAATAGGTTGAACTTTATGAATTAACAAATATAAGAATTATTTAAAACGTTTTATTAAGATTGAGTTTTTTGGAGTTAAATTTTTAAATATAATTTTTAAAATATATATTATTGTCGTGGCTTGTGTATTCTTTTGAATTATTCAGAAAATCGAAGGCTAAGAAATCGGATGGACACAAATTTCAAAACAACTATAGTCCAATAAAATAGCGCTGCGTTATTTCTTTTTTGGTAATATTTTTTTCTAAATTGATTCCACTCAAAATTAAATTGATTTTTTCAATTAAAAATGGAAATAATTTACATAATTGGAATGCGCTCCAAAACGAGGCCCTTTTGGTCAAACTTCTGCGGTTCAGTCAAAATATTTTACCAACAAGACAAAGTAATTTTTTTTTTATTTTCTGATTTCCTTTGCCGATGCATTAATTTATGGGTAACAGAAAACTACCCAAATGTAGACAAAGATAGGGGGACCCATTCAGAGCTTTGACTTTGACCTGACATGTAAATTGGATAATAAACTATTATTACTAGAAAAATTAAACTAAATTAAATGGAATTTAAACGGATTTAAACTAATAAATAAACCAAAATTTAAACAAAAAGCCAAATCCAATTGTAAGAAAGAATATCGAAAAGTATGTAAGAAAAAAAATTATTGTGAACATCAAAACTATATGTTCTTGAAAATAAGGAAACACTCATGTCAAAATGGACCTTCTTTTGATGGATTGGTCTCCCTTTCGTTCTGGCTCTCACCGGGAAGACGGGGATGGTGAATATTTCTGTTTTTAGATATTTAATATATTATGAATTACCAAACATATGGTAAGCTTGGTTAAGTGATAAATTGTTTATTATTTAAATATATTATTTAAAAATAAATAGAATTTATGTTTGGGAGAGCGAACTGAGAAAATCGAAATATACCAAAATAATGAGTGTGAACGTATATAAATTTAAATTACTTCGAGAGGAAATATTGATTTATCAACATGAACGTATTTCTAGTTTCACCAAAATATATTTCTAACTAAAAAAGAATCAATGCAAAATGAATACGACAAATAAAAAATAATATAAATCCGACTAGATATAATTTATATATGATCAAAATTTAAATAATGAGTGCGAACGTATATAAATTTAAATGACCACGTAGACTAATCAACTACCAAATAGTTTGCTTGGAAACACTAAGAAGCAAAGAGATTTAAAATATAGAAAATCATATCAATGGTCTGCATCCTAAAATCTTAGGAAAACCATGATTACATCGCATGCGTCAGATATCTTACGTTATATTTTCTTCTAGATTGTTTTTTTTTTTATTTTCCCGAGGGAGAATTAAGCTATATACATATGTGTATATGTATATATGAAATTTCATGGGTGTGGGTCAAAGGGAAACTTCGATAAAGTGGATAATGTTGTAAACTCGAAGTGAAATAATAGAATAAAATATCATATACATACGTGCAGAAAATATAATATATATATATATATATACCTAAGTTATATGAGAGGGCTTATGTCATATTATATGTAGGTAGACACATGCTAAATGGAGTCATCATGTGCTTTTAGATAAATGTTGGAACGTCCATTATAATAAATCAAGATTTTATGCAAATCTTTGAATAGACTAAATGAATGAGCAACTTTTGTTTACACGTGATTGAGGCATTTTATTTTCTGTATAAATTTTTTTATAATTGAAAATGATGGAGATGTCAAAATAAGGACCCAATCCCACGTGGGGGACAAAAGAATGAAGCGTGATAGAAATTGAAACTTGGATATATTACATAAAAAAACCATAGGATATACACACGCAATGCAAAACACATATATAAATTAAAAAATTTCATGACGATTTTTGTTATTTAGATTGTTTTTTCTTCTTCTAAATAAACAGTTGAGTGAGACCGTACTTGCTCTAGTTGCACTTGGGCATTTGAAATTTTAAACAAAGCTATTGATTTCGTTCGTTATAAAAACAAATATATATTGAATCAGCGCAATTTTAATTAATGGTATACCAAATTTCATTTACACTGACGATAACAAGTGAGGGTGATTGATTTTTGTTAATCTTTATTTTTTTTAAAAATTGTAGTCAAGACAAATTATTAATGTATTTCACAACATATATTTTTTTTATAACAAATTTAGCCGCGACAATGCTTTATAGTTATAAGTGAAATTCCAACATTATTATTGATGTAGTAAATATGGCTGCACTAATTTTGCCACGTCATAATAAAACCTTGGAACTAAAGGAAACATTGGTCATGCGGAAAAATCAAACCTAAGAACGGTCCCGTTGCTTTGGTCATACGCCACCAAAGAGAGACCGATTTTTTTTTTCTTGGGTTATTATACTAATTTTCAAAATTGTTTTGAACGAAAAATTGATAGTCCAAATTATTTATACGCATAAATGATTGATACAAACTTGATAATTTCTTGGACCTTATACAAATATAGGGGTGTCAAAATCACCGGGCCGGGCCAGCCCGCCCCGCGCCCGACACAAGCCCGAATATTTACGGGTCGGGCCGGCCCGGCCCGAAAAACCAACGGGCCTAAAATCTTCGGCCCGGAGCCCGGCCCTATGGGCTTTTTTCGGGTTCGGGCCGGGTTTCGGGCTTAAAATTTTTTAAAAAAATTATAAACAAATTAAAATAATAAAAATACAAAAAATTTTAGTACATTTCGTGATAATTAAAAAAATAAAAAATAGATTATAAAGTTATATATTTTGATCTAATATAAATTTAAATTTAAAATTTTTTAATTTTATATGGTAATAAATTTTTAAAAATGATAATTTATTATATTTTTCATTTGGAATAAGTATTTGAAACTAATAGTATTATAATTTTGATTATATCATTTATGAAAATATTATATCCTGAATTATTTAGTATTAAACAAGTTTTTAGTTTTTAGAACTTTCTATTATTATATAATATTTGTATATTTTTTATATATGTATATACATTATAAAATATATATATATATATATATATATATATATATATATAAAAGATTGAATAAATGTATATATATGATCAAATATGTGTGAAATATATATATGTATATCTATATTTACCTATATACATATATATTTATACATATAATTTATTTTTTTAATCGGGCCTACGGGCCGGGCCGGGCCGACCCGGCCCGGCCCGAAAAACGAACGGGCCTTGATTTGTAAAGCACAAGTCCGCAAATTTTACGGGCGGGTTCGGGCCGGGTATCGGGCCTCGGGCTATTTTGACACCCCTATACAAATATTTTCAATAATCATCCTCTTAATTATGATTTTTATGATCAAATATACTAGTCATTATCATATAAAATCTCCGAATAAATTTTTATTTCATGTTAACTATTAGCTTATACAGTGAGATATACAGCAAACAAATTTTTTGGTTAAATAATATTTTATCTTCTCTTAAATTTAAAAGAAAATATAAGAAAATCTCAAACTTCCGTGAAGATAATAAACTGTTGAATTCTATATATTTTTTCAAAAGCTTGGTTCTATATATCCAATCGTCATTTTATTTTAAAGATTCAGATATTTTCCTTTAATCGTTTCGTTCGAAGAAGATGGAAAATATCGAAAAATAAAAGTTAACGGCAATATACGATATATATACACATATAATGCCTAAACGATGATGGAAAATTACATGAGGGATGCCCTCAGTAGATGGCGCCGAGGATCATGGGCTTTGTCCCTTTATAGCGATGTTTGTCCAACCAAATATCAAGAAAATAATTTTAGATAAGGCTGTGTGCAATAAGGCTCTTTTCTTTAAAGTTTTGATACAACATTGAACCTACCAATTTAAATTTTTTTTTATAGGAAACGTAACAATCATGGTCCTTGGAATCGAAATTAATATAGAATTTTTGTAATATTTATTCAAAATCCAAAATATCTTCCCACAAATCAGTTAGATATATATGTTATAGTCAAAATACGAGATCCCATTGGAAATATTATCATAGAGAACAACAAATCATTGGACCGTCGTCATGCATGTTGGTTGTCCTAATTAATAACGAATCTTGAACAAAAAAAATTCAAACTATGAATACAAGACACTGCCTTCTATTCTACCATAAATGAAAGTTGTAAAATGTTTCGGTCCGGTTTTGAAAAATGGGCTCAGATCATAAGTTCAGATTTCATGGGCTTTATCCTGTTAAAAGAAAAGCCCAATACTTGCTTTATCCTGTTTTATTGAAGCCCACATTTTATGATGAAAATATTAAGGTTTTTCGTACGTGGAATGATGTTAATCAATTGAATTTGGACACGTGTTAATCAAATAGTATTTGTTCCATTGCGAATTCAGGAAAAAAAATTCTCATATTTCAAATGAAGTTTCGTTTTGGTTCGGAATTCATTTTTTTTTTCGATTTAAAAAAATTGTATGGTAGTTCACAAAAATGTTAATGAAAACCAAAATAGAATTTGGTTCGGTTAGATTTTTTCGGCCCAATTTTAATTTACCAACCAAAATCCGAAACCGAAATTGCAAAGGAATCACATTTTTTTTTTTATTTCATCCATCCATAATTTTCATGAAACAGACTTTCATCACATCAAACTAAAGAAAACAGAAAAAGAAAAACATCATGAAACAAAATAAAAGAAAAAAAAAACTATCTTTTGTCTGAAATCATGTTTTGGGTGTCTGGTATTAATTATTCTTTTTAGGGTTTTTTTGTTATATATTTTTAAAGTTCATCCTTAGGAGTGTGACCAGAAGGGTTAGTGGCCGAGTTCTTGGTAGGGTAAGAAGCTTCCATGGCGATACCACACAGTCCTTCTTTCTTCTGAATCCCACGTTGCATCCTTATGTAACCTTTCTCCCCCCAATCTTCCCCCCACGAATTCTTCACTATCCAATACCTCGTTCCGTCGAGCGTCGTTCCGTACCCTACCACCGCTACCCCGTGGTTCAGTTCCGTCCCGCATTCTCCCGTAAATACGCCCTGTACATAAGCGCGTTAAATGACGTCATTCCGTCGAGAAAAAATCGAACCCTAGACCGGTTAATATGGTCTTAGACGAGTAACATATCAATATATACGAAGAAGATTTGAGAAGATTACGTAATATTTACATCGTTTGTTTTGAATAATGAGAAATTTTCTCTGTTAGTACCGTTCAGATGAAAAGGTTGTTTTTGTTGTACCTCGGAGTAGAACTGGAAGTCTGAACTTCCGGCATCAATGGCGACAGAGACGGGTTGGTGAGCAACGGCCTTCATGAGAGCGTCCTCGTTGTTTTTAGGCACGTCTTCGTGTCCATCGATCGAAACAGCAGGAGCATTTTCCTGAACACGTGCGTAAAAGCAATATATATATATATAAGCCATTCATTCATCCCTTTTTTCGGATGGCGGCAAAGGGTTTCGAATGAATCACGGGTTTTTCTGGAAACCTTGATTTTGTTGCAAGTTTCGTCGGAAGCCTCGTAAGGGTACTCGGCCTCGGTAGTGATTCCGCCTTTCTCCTTGATGAAAGCGAAGGCGAGATCCATCAAACCTCCATTGCAGCCTTGGTTCTCTGTCGTGTCACAGTCCACCAGCTCCTGTTCGGACAGAGAAACAAGATCCTTTGTCTTGATTTGGTTTATCCCTTCAACGGCCACAACCGTCGAAAACGCCCAACAGCTTCCTATAACACACACACAAAAAAAAAATCCATCAAACCATCCAAATCAATCAATTCAGAAAACCCTAAAACTATATTTAGGGTTTTTAACCTAGACAGTGATATATCTCTATAGATCAAGTACACCATATATATATATATATATATATATATATATATATATACACTTACCGCATTGGCCTTGGTTTTTGACAGGAGTGACAGCTCCTTTCTTTCTCCAATCTATAGATGTCGGGACCCGAGAAACGTCGGCGTACATGAAGTTACCCGAGCCGCGTTTCTCGCCTTGGAGCATCCTATGATGCTTGACGTTGGAACCGGCGTACGTTCTCCTGAATTCCTCGCTCGTCATGTCTCCAAACATGTTGAGCTTGAGCTTGTACGGCCTGTCCTGCTTGTTCGTCTCGTGGACATGTCTTACGTTGTGTTTGAACACGTTGAACCTCTTTTGCTTCTCATCTAAGCTCCTACTCACAGTGTGGTGGCTCCTCCATTTCTCGTACAGTTCCCATAACCTCTCCTCCGTCTCTAGATCCTTCTCGTCGAAATCGAAACCCTTTGCCGTTTCTTGGATCAGAAGCAAGATTAGGGCAAGAACAGCGAATTTCTTCATCATCATGTTCTTGATTGAAAAGGTTCTTGCTTTGATGTTTGTTGTTGTGAGAGGTGGGAGTGGAGAGGAAGAAGGGCTTTGCTTTATATAGAGAATTCATGTAATGAAAGATGATGGAATTCATGAAGAAAGTTCATAAAAGAGGATTAGAGATTTCTTGTGGGTTTCAACAATATTTCATAATTGAGGATAGCTGATGACGAAATGTGGGTATAATGGAGATATAATAAAGTAGGGATGGGCCAATTTTTTATATATATAAAAAATCAAACCGATTCTCGTTTTGGTATAATCTTATCAATCTAAAATCAAACGGAATGTGGAATAAATGAAACTAAAACTTATTTTAACTAAATAATTCTCTCCTAAATTTTCTAGTTATGAAATGAAATTTACGTTTAACAAAAAAAACTTATTTTAATTAAATCATTAATTAACACGTAGCTTGTACGCAACCAATCAATATATTTCTAAACGTATAATGATGGATCCCAAGTCCAAAAGAGTTGTACCGTGAAGATTTCGGTTTCACATACCATTATTGGTTTGGTTTGGTTAGTGTTGATCCGGTTTTGCCTCCGGTTATGAGATGGTTTCCTTATTGGTTTAGAGTTGATTTGATATCGGTTCACCTCGATTGAAATCGGTTTGGTTTAGATACATATCCCTTTATTGAATTTAAATGATTGGAATTGATATATAATTGTAATAAATTATAGATACTATATGTTCCATCGGTGGTTATGCTGAATCGTGATTCATGTGACATGCTTATACAAAGTCCTTTTTTTGGTAAAAGGTAAAATTATTTTTATAAATATTCTGGATATTTAATTTATTTTGGAAGATACATCTTTTTGGCAAGAAACATAAAACGGAACATAGAAAGGAATTTGTGTCGTGACAGACAGTTTCAAGCTTTTGAAATTTTGTTTTTATAAGAAATTAAATATAAAAAAGATATAATTTTATATGATTTTTTATATAGATTATCATTACGATTAAGATAAAAGATTTATACGAATTTATACTATACCTGAATAATATAAAAATACAAGACTTCAGAATTTTTTCGTATAATTTAACTTTATACAGATGAAAGTTATAAAACAAAAAAATAAATGTTCTTTTTATTGTATATTTATAATATTTGTTTTCTTTCGTTTTGTTTAGAGTAAAAACAGTAGATTTGCATTTACAAAATTATTATTTGAAATTAATTTTCAAGAAATTCTTATCACCAAAATATAAATTTTGATATCAAACCCGAAAGTCTAATTCGATATTATTTGTATTTATAGTATATAAGAAGTTTTATGTTTTTGAAGTATAATTGGGTAATTTTTCTAATATCAGATCCGAATATAAATTTCTTTTTTTTTCACAAGTTATTTCTTTTACAATTTATATGATACTTTAACAGATTGTCGGAAAAGAGACACGTTAAATAAATTAAATAAATGAAAAAGGCAAAACAAAAACAAAAAAGTTAAAAAGAAAGAGGATAATAAGGCCGAGGGATACACGAACAACACGCAATATATTTCCCATCAAAAAGATTTTCAGTTGCTTCTGCCGCTGCCGAAAGACAAAACGGATCAAAAATGCTTATAAAATATTATATATATATATATATATATATATTAATGAGACCTTGAAACCTGTGAGCTATGATTGGCGGTTATTTGCTTTGCTCTTTTTCATATATATATATATTTTTCCAAATTGGACAAAATTATTATTCGTAAGCATCTAAACATTTTTACAAAGATATTCAAAGGCTTAAATTGTACAAAATCGAATTTTTAAATGCCGATTCTAAAACCAGAGGATTTGTGTACGGATACAAAATCAGATGATAGTTCTTTTGCTTTAATATCTAAAATCTGAAACCCAAAAAAAAAAAAGAAACCCATCATGGGAAAGATTTTCAAATCCGTAAAGAAAGAGACATTTCAACATATATGTTTACATCGTCGGTTCAAAGCAGTAATAAGTATTTTTAATGTTTAGTTACAAAAAATTTCATGTTTAGAAACGAAATTATTAAGCTCTTTATGTGATATATCTAATTTATTTGAGGGTTTAGATTATGAATGGTGATAATTTTTGTTTCGAGTTTTTGGTTTTAGATTTGAGCTTTTGGTTTTTATAATATTTATAAATCCAAAAAATAGAGTTTTTGATTTTTAATTGATTTTTTTCACTAAAATAACTTTAATTTTTTTTTTGATAAAAAATAAATTTATAAAATCTTAATTCTCATTTTTTTATAAAAAAATTCTAAAAACGTCGTCCATTCAGCCACTTAATCTTATATAATACCCCAATTGAAACCGTAATTATTTTAAAATATTTTAAAGTGGGCTTTCATGGGTGTCCAGCCCAAACATGAAAGAGACGCATAGAGAGAGACAAAGTCAAATGGCTCATCATTGAAAGTGGGCCGTAATCGAAGCCCATTTTCAAATATTCATAAAGTGGGCCCTCTCTCCTTTCTACTTGGGTATCATTCAATTTCTCATCACCGACACTTAAATCTCTCTCTCTCTATATATATCATATATATATATATATATATATATTAATATGACCCCATAATGATTTCACAGTTTAAATATTTTTTCCCTTACCTACTATCAGAAATTTTCTTCCTACTTGTTTAACGATTTTCCCAGCTACAACTATGCATTTCATAGATTTTTTTGGTGAATATGAAATTGACATTTCATTAAAAAATTGACTCTCTCTCTCTCTCTCTATATATATATTATATATATTGAAGAGATGATGTGAACTATGTGTCATGATGATGATGATGATTCATTCATACTAACTCTACCCAAATAAACAGTATTGGATACGATTGGCCTTTTAATTAGTATGTTGATTATATATATATATATATATTATATTACATACTAATGAAAATATGATCAATGATTTTTAAGTGAACATAGGTAGTACAAGAAGGGAATCCATTATTGGGGAGCACGTGCAAAGCACGTGAGCCATGCTTTTACTTCCTTTTTGTCGACATGTTCTTATACAGCTTGGCTGCGTTGTGAAGAGAATTAACCAACTTTGGAAATTTAGAAATGATGAATTCGCTCTTTACACTTTTTATTCAGAGTGAAAATGCATATTCCGACAACTTCATGCGTACTTAATTCAAAATTAAAATCACTAAATTCTTTGTTTTGTTTCCCTAATCCATCGTAGTCAGCTCTCTGATTACACTTCATCCGTTAAAATTCGTACCCCTAATTAAATATTTAATTGAATATATAATAATATTATTATTAGTAACCACTTCCCAACACAGCGACACCACCACCAAGTGTAAGATTCCATTCATCTTCCTCCTCCAGCTTCAAATTTCCACGCACAACACAGATCCAGTCCCCCACCTTCTCTTGTCCTCTTTCTCTTCTCCTTCATCTCTTGAAAGCCTCAATCTTTCATCGGAACAATCGAAATCCGTAACTGTTTCGTCCTAATTCATTGTTTCCTTTCTTTGATTTCGCCGAGTTTCGATCTTTGGATATGGAGACCGGAGGTTTTGGGGGTTGACTGGGTTGACTCGGGTTTGGACGAGTCATGAGATGGGTGCTTCTCTGGTTTAGCTCTTGATTTTTTTCCGGGTTTCAAGAGTTTGATACTGAATTTCGAAGATTAGGGGTAATTGTAAAAAATGTCATTGAAGCATAGAGGATTAGAGGTGTCGGCTTCGAAGAGTGTTGTGTCCAAGAGATGGACTTTCTTGCTTTGCATCGGATGTTTCTGCGCCGGAATTCTCTTCTCGGACAGGTTTTACAATGATTCTCTGTAATTAATTTTCAAGTTTCTGCTACGTTCTTGTCCTGAACCGGTGGAGTCCGATTTGGCTGCCATTTCTCTGTTTACGAGTTTTTACGGGAAAATTCAAAACTTTATACATGGATAAAGAAAAAGGAAAACCTGTTTGGGCACTGTCGGTGGAGATCCTATTGCATCGTTTCGATCAGTGGCATAAATTCTTTAGGGGTTTGGATAAAAGTTTAGTTTTTTAAGACACCCAAGATCTGAATCTCCAAATTTCCCGAGAAAGTTGGGAATTTTCTCGAGGGTCTTCTGCTTTTCCGAGAAACTCTGGTGACGTTTTCTCAGAGGGTCTTCTACTTTGTTTATATGCTTTCCATTGGCAAAGTTCCTTTTTTCTTTTCTGAAAACGAATTTGAATGCATAGCTGAGAATGTTGAGATACTATGGAATTAACCTGAAGATCAAATCAATTAGAACGCACCAATTTGACATTTTTGGGTATGAATTTCTGGAAACATGCATTTGGCACCCTAATGGAATATGATTTGATTTAGAATGTGGCCTGAGCCTGAAGCCAGAAGTGTGCCAAGGGGCATTGGAGCCTCGGATGAACAGTTGCAGTTAGTAACCGAAGACCGTGATTCATTACGAGTAAGCCCTCTGATTTATGAATGCAAATGTTCAAACTCTGAATCTGATTGTTGTTTCATATGCTCTGATTAAAAATATATTTTCGATTTCCAGAAGGAAGCAAGGCATGAATCCAAGGATGTTTTCCATGAAGTCTCCAAGACTCATGATGCTATTCAGTAAGTGATAAAAAAAATCATATATTATCCATGGATCCTTGCCTAAATTGCCGTAAATCTTGCGGGTTTTTTCTAATCACGGTTCATTCCTAAACTGTTTCATCGGATGGCATTATTCAGAACGCTCGACAAGACGATTTCCAATTTGGAGATGGAACTGGCTGCTGCCAAGGCTGTCCAAGAATCTATCATGAATGGTTCCCCTGTTTCCGAAGAGTTTAAGTTAACTGAAGCTGTTACCAAAAGAAAATATTTGATGGTTGTCGGTATTAATACCGCTTTTAGTAGCAGAAAGCGTAGAGATTCAGTCCGGGCGACCTGGATGCCTCGAGGTATGTGGGCTCGAGAGTAATATCACCCTTTGCACTATATTTTCGTTCAGTCACTCGTCTGTCTATATATAACCCCGGGGCTTTAACACACTTCTTCCGAGCTTTGTGTCTACTTCAGGTGATCAAAGAAAGAAGCTCGAGGAAGAGAAAGGAATCGTGATGCGTTTTGTCATAGGCCATAGGTGAGAAAGAGGCTTCGGATATCATTATTTTTCGACTCGTAGTGTCTTTTACAATTACCACCAGTTTCAGATTGCTTCACTTGTACTGTCTCTGTCTTTTTCTTGATTGGATGTTTTTTTTCTTTGCACAGTGCCACTTCGGGTGGGATTCTTGATAGGGCAATTGAAGCGGAGGACAGGAAACATGGCGATTTCTTGAGGCTGGTAAGACAGTTCCCGATCATGATTCTCTCGGGGATTTTCTCGCTTCTCTGGTTTCATTCAGATAAGTTACATTACTACGAAAATCGTCAGAGTGGAACTTTTTCTGTGTTTGTTTGTCCTGAAATCTCAACAACACTTGAGCAGGACCATGTTGAGGGTTATCTTGAACTGTCAGCCAAAACAAAAGCTTATTTTACCACGGCTTTTGCGTTGTGGGATGCAGAATTTTACGTTAAAGTCGACGATGACGTTCATGTAAATATAGGTAAAGAAACCCTCTTCGATTTCTTATTTTTATCAGATTGTTCTTTCTGTTGTCCCTGCTTTCAGGATTTTACAGTATACTATAGCTAAAATTCCATCTTGCTTTTCTTTCATTCTCTGTGACGTATGTACAGCGACGCTTGGAGCAACATTAGCCACTCACCGAATGAAGCCTCGGGTTTACATCGGTTGCATGAAATCGGGTCCAGTTCTTGCGCAGAAGTAAGCTTTCGAAACTCTCCTTTCCTGGTTCTGTAATAAAATCTCTGGTCAACTGCCATTCTTGGGTGTATTCGAAAAAAGTTGTCATCTTTCTTCTCGGCTTCTTAAAAACTTGTCTGGTATTCGAACAGGGGAGTAAGATACCACGAACCCGAGTTCTGGAAATTCGGGGAGGAGGGAAACAAGTACTTCCGCCATGCCACGGGCCAGCTCTACGCCATTTCCCGGGACTTAGCCTCTTACATATCGATAAACCAGTGAGTTCACAAACACTATTTGGCACTGTGTTTCGTTTCTTGTGTCGAAAATCTCGAGTTATAAAACCGTTATGGAATAGGCATGTGCTTCACAAGTACGCAAACGAGGACGTCTCGTTAGGAGCGTGGTTTATCGGATTGGACGTGGAGCACATAGACGACCGCAGGCTATGTTGCGGTACTACAGGTAAACTTTCTCTCTCACACAAGAAAGAAAGAAACTTTTTTTTTCCCGAGAAAATCCGATGATGTGGGAAAGGGGAAATGACATACAGATTGCGAGTGGAAGGCTCAAGCGGGGAATATGTGCGTCGCCTCATTCGACTGGAGCTGCAGCGGAATCTGCAGATCCGCTGATAGGATGAAAGATGTTCACAGAAGATGCGGTGAAGGCCATAATGCTCTTTGGTCTTCGTCTTTCTGATGAAAACCCTCGTCGTATATATATATACGCAATATACATCCCGACAACAATACATATATATATATATATATGTGTGTGTGTGTATATCTCTTTCATGGAGATGAGAAGAGTTTTTTTTTTGGTAGAGATGGTGTATTATTCTTTCATTGCTTTTGTGGAGTTGGGGCAAATGAAAATGCAGATTTTAGCTGCAAAGTGACGACGACTCCATTAACGCACTTTCAAGTGTGATTTTGTGCTTCGAATTCTCGGTTTTAGGGTTTTTTAATTTTTGTTTGTTCTTCTGCAAACTTTTTATATGTATGGTTATTGACTCACCATATGCTGGAGTATGATCTCTTTATTTTGAAACCTTTGAATTTCGGTTCCGATTTTGAAAACCAGGTGAAATGGAGTATCGTATAAATTTATTTTAATAGAATTTTTATATAAAAGAATCGAACGGGTATAACTTTTTCTAAAATTTAATTATTCGAGTTCCATCTAAATATAAATTCAATATTGAATGATGAAAAAATATAGAATCGAATGGTGTAATATCCACAAACCAAAATAAATCAAAACTAAAAGCAACACAATCTTAATATTACCAAAACCTTAAAATATGTAATCCTAATGCCAACGGGTGACATAAGTATGACATCGCCCTGTGTAATCAGTCACTGTAATGAAATGGCTTCATGTTTTTTTTTTTCAGAAAAAAATTTCAAAAGAAAGGATTTGAAAACATACAAACGGGGAAAAAAAAAATTGGATGTAACGTAATATGATTAAATATAAAATGTTGAAAAGGATAATGCCATGAAGATGAAGCCAAATGTCCGAATCCCTCGCAAACCCCAACAACCGCACCTCTCTCTCTCTCTCTCTATCCTTCATCGTCTTCTTCCCACCACCACTCCCATATTTTGCGTTTTACCATTTGTTTTTTTTTTAATTTCCTCTAGAAAAAATATAGCCAATGGTGTCGTTCATCATTTCAAAGGTATTATATTATTTTAGGTTGTCTCTTACAAAAAATATATAATATAGGCGTTAAATCTAATATTATAATATAGATGCTGTATGCAGAATTTCAATTTAATTTTGTCTAATCAAACATTGACAAGAATTCTTATTGCACGCGGTTTCTAAAGATCAATCATTAAAGGGGGAAAAAAGTTGAACCCTTTTGTGTCCGATAGCATTTTATTAATCTTCCTCGTGCTGTGTAAATAATATATATATATATATATATATATATCTA